ATAATGAGACTTTGGACACATTTGGGTGAGCTATAAGAGAAAATTCTAAGAAAAAGGAGGACAACATTGAATCTTAACATGCTGTGCGTGTGTGTGTGTGTGTGTGTGTGTGTGTGTGTGTATGATTAAGACCTTCAACTTTCGGAAAGGACAATATCGAATATCAATGTAAAGTGGAACAAGACTGTGTGAATGGTTCATCAGACCTCTAAATACAACAAAAAGTTTAAAAAAAGTGCATTTTTTTCTATTTTGATTTTGTAAACAACTACATGGAATCCGTATAGCTTTAAAAACACAACACAACTTAATGAGATTTACTGTTTTGATTCACCTATTTTAACATTCTGCATTGTTATATTGAAGACTGAAGACTTCAGACTTTGGGATCTTGATGAAGAAAAATTATATGGAAGAATTAGTGCTACCCCGGATGTTACTGGAAGAGCAAATTGATATGACTTGTCAGAAACAGCAATTAAAACCAAAATTAAGTAAGTGAACTCTGCATTTTTTTGTCAATTGTGCCCCACCCCCCAGGACAGGATTATTTCCAACTAAAATGTGAAAGTGTCCCCAGAGACTTTATTCATTATTCGTTGGATGGTTTGTGTTAAGGAGTTTGATGTGCAAATAATTGAGACTATCAAGAAATATCCAATGTATCCAGTGAGAGTATGTCATTGCTTCTGTGAGAGAAGAACATCTTCAAGGTATCAGGCCTTCTCAGAAGAACTCCCTACTCTGGCTTTGATAAAGATTCACAAATGATACACTTAAAAAAAATCCACAGCAAATTTTAATCCAAAATCTGGGGCAAATTTTGATGCTCAAGCTTTGAAGTTAGGTATTTTCTTTGCTATCCTTTATTGTTTATTACCTGTCCTAGGTAAATTTACTTTAAAAATGACAAAAGTGATCCTATTTCTCTATGGAAATGGAATACTGTAAGTGTAATATATAGTGTAATATATATGTGATATACAGGTTCCAATAATTGTTGAGTTTTACAAGACATAGCTACTAACTTTCCAAGGGGTCATGAAATGATTGGATGACAAATGACCAGGTAAAGTCTGAGTTAGAATGATCAAATAACAGGCTATTTATTAGTCAATTTGGAAGGAAATAGAAGATGAACTTGATCATCCTCCTTATTTGACAGATGGGGTCATGAAGCTACTAATATGTATAAGAAGGTCACGAGCTTTCACAAAGATGACTCTCAACATGAATTGTTTGCTATTACACAATTAATTATTTCATAGGCAACAATACCCATGCAATCAATGTTTATGACAAAAAGTTTCCAAAATACTAGAAGCCTGTTCTCTATTTTATCAGGATGGTGTCTGGTCACCTCTACTATCATCTGTACATCTTCACTAGGGTATCAAATATTAACATGTAATATCCTCCCCTCCCCACTCTGCCTTGACCTCTATTCCTCACTAGAGCCCATGTGCACTTGAAGCCAAAGCTACCTGTATAGGTACCTTTGGGAAAACTTGTATCTATATTTGCAAAAAATATATTTGAGACCATCATACACTATAGGGATAGCAATCATATACACCCATAGTTTAACCTTTACTTCTAAGAGATAATCTAGCAGAGATTTTATTCCAGGGTTTTGTAAATTCTCCAACCCAAGGATATTTCTGCTTACCTAAGAAAAAGAAAGAACTGAAAAAAAAATCCTTGTGTTATCTAAACATTGTCAGTTTGGCTGGTCTATAAATGATTTGATTTCACTGGCATTCACTTTAATTTTGTCAAATTAAGCAAAAATAAAGCTAACAAAATAAACCCCTAAATTTAATATACATACACATCATATATGTGTGTATGTGTGTATGTTTAGATATGTATACATGTGTATGTGTGTGTGGAGTCACAGTAGGAAACAGATAATTATAAGAAAACAAAATGGATCTTAAGGAATGAATTTCTTCCTTTACCCTCACTATTTCTTTAAAAGGGAAAGAAAAAATAAAAAAGGATGAGATAAAGCTTATTTTTAAAGGCATCATTTCCCACAACATTCTATTCTCAATTTTAGATGCACCCTGCCCAGAAACATTGTGCTGATCTTTCCTGGATGAAGACTGAATTTCTGAAGACTAAGGTATAAACACAGTAGAGATATGCTATCATCAAATACACTGTACTGAATCTATACAATCGAATAATAATAAAAAAGTATTCTTTATATATAAAATGTTTCCCGGATACCAAAAGATCAAATAAAAATCCCACCCCTCTTGCTGTGTTCCTAAGTATAGTATATACTCGTTTCAGAAATGGTTCACAGCACTTGTCTCAGGGCAATATTTTCTGGCTTACAGGGCTGGGATCAAAGGAACCAGCATCTCCCCTCACTTAGGGAGCCATGGTTTTCTATAGCACCATAGAGCAGATGGGTGTGCGTGACTGCCTCATACATCAAGCGTATTCTGGTGGAGACCTGGTTATTGACAGCCTTCGCCATGGTCGCCAGAGGCCTCACTTACATTGTAGCTGTCATTCAACCTGGAAGCCAATGGGCATTCTCTCGAAGTCAGCTTGGCCCTACTTTTCTCTTTTTGGTAGGTCTGATATCTTCTTATTATCAAAAGAGATTGTGAAGTCTTAAAATCAGCATTTTTCCTCCTCCAGAAGTCCTTGCTATTGCTACTTAGAAATGATGTGAAACATTGGAGATGTGATAAATTTAGAAATATTTAGCTCATAGCAAGGTAGATATTGGATTAGAGTATAAAACATAGAGCATTTAATAAGGTACATGGGAAAACCAGAAAGAAAATTTGGATGCCAATTCTCCAACATCATTTCTATTTTGCAGTAGCATAAAATTTGTCATATATTTTGAACAACAGTGTTCCATGGCCACTTAGAATAATATATGCCTTGTATATAAAAAAACTAATTAGAAAATGATTCAGAGTAAAAAACTCATGAGTGACATTCATTCTTCAGTAAATAACTAATATGCAACTTACTTAGTTACAAATCTCCAAATATCTATTCCCATAATAAAGACAAGGAAAATAAAACAAAATCAAAGGTGTCTTGTAGAAATAAGCACCTCTCTGTTAGGCACATGAGCTTGAAGGACAAGGTACCAATGGCTCTGGGGTTTGCCATGTTAGATCAACTTTGAAAGTCTTGACACTAGGAACGCTTGTTAGCTGGTGCCCAAACATGTGCCTTTTGAGCTTGGGCCCTTTTCAGAGGAGAGCTTCATATTCCAAAATGAGAAAAATGGCCACCGAAATAACTGTTAATATTTTTTTCTTTATGGAAGATTTTGTCTTGATTATCAATTAGGAAGTGCATACTGTATCTCTAAACTTTACATCAGACTGCCAGTGGGCGTGTCTGATATTAAGGCTCTTCATGACGCACCAGAGTGTTTATAATCACATAATATATTGTTCTACCTTAAGAAAAAAACAAAGTGGGGATTGGATTAGGACTTGTTTGATTGATAATATTTAATCTTTTCAGTGTGAATTATGTATTAAAGTAATTGCTACGAGTCACTTATCACCTCCTAATTAGATGAAATTCTGTATGAATCCTTTAGGTATGCCACAGGTAACCTTTTGATGAAAAACTCAAGAAACAAGGTCGACTTCAACAGATCTGTGAGGTCTTCCAGGTAATGTTGGGTTAATACTGATAAATTTCAACATAGTAACATATTGGATATGCAACTCATGGGGGTCGTAGATCCTTGTCCCAAAGATACAATATTTTTAAATGGGAGCCTAGATGGTTTAGACATTAAAAGTTTGTGATAATCTTTTACGAGTCTAACATTACCTTTGTATTCAAAATAATATAAGTATAATAGGACAATTAATGAATACCAAAAACCTTTTGTTAAATAGAAAATGCATTTCTACCGAAGTGTTTTCAACATCTGAGACCTTAAGTTCCACTAAACAGTGCTGGTAAGAACACAGTGTTTGCCTTCCTCTGCGTGACATTATGTCTACTAAAGAATGTTCTCAAATAGCAACTTGTAATATATTTTTAACAGAAAAAACTTAACCTCAGTAAGAATTGTATATTAAATATTTGATTCAGAAATAGTTAAATTTTCTTCCATTGTAATGTGAATCTTCCACAAGGAAATTTTAACCAAAGTCTTCCCAGACTGCAGTAAAAGAAATCTTTTATATACTTTCAAATACTGTGCCTTTTTATTTAAAACAGTGTAAACATAACAACTCAACACCACCAATAATTGGAAAAAGACTAGTTATGTGAACACTAATTTCCTTGAATGCCCCATGAAAATAAGGGTAAATAAAACAGACAAATCTTCAGGAGAAGTTTCAGTTCACCTTAGCAGTGGTAAAAATATTGCTTTATTCCAAATGAACATACAACACAATTTACTGTTCTTTTGGGGGCTTCCTGTGAACTGAAAAGTTTGGGCTTTGTGATTTCAACAATTTATTCTTTCCATATTAACCACAGAAGCCAATGTCTTGGTCCACAAATAGTAGACTTGCTACAAAATAAATAGTAATGAGGATGACGAGAAAGCAAAGGGTAACTGTCGATTTGATAATTGGCTTGTGTAAATCATTTAAGTATGCATAATTCAAAATAAACACACATCCTCAACTCGCCTTGTGGTCCTGATATCATTAATGAGCCAATAGTTGTTCCTCTCAAAAGTATTCACACCAGAAAATGATCTTGCCATTGTCAAGAGTTTTATAGGATTCCGCCATGCAAGTGACCTTGATTTAAGAACTAACTGAACTTGATACTTAATGAATAAATTTAAAGTGAACAGATCTGAGAGGGAAATTTTTTTTCTGAATAATAAATTCCCTGATGTTTCAGAACAAATTTTAGCAAGCTTAATATGCACACACATGCACACATACACACAATGAACACATGTGCATACAGCATACCTGTGCTCGAGTGAGCAAACCCGTACCCACACAAGGTTGTGCACGCGCGCACGTACACACACATACACACACACACACACAGGCACACACACACACACACACACTGAGAAATGCTCCTTTGGAGCCCCTACACAATCTCAAAGAAAAACACTTCTAATCGCATGATTTTAGTAACACGACATTGTGATTTTTCTCATCTTTTTTTCTATAATAATTTCCTTCACACCTCCCTCTGAGATTCTGTGCCTTCAAATTTCAGAGGGAGCGGCACGTAAGAGTAGCTAAGATTGCCCCAGATTACGCCTTCTATCTCCCGCCCTCCCTCTTTCAGAGTCTTTGTGCCATTCTTCAAAAATGAAATAGAAAACACTACACTGGTTGACATGACATAACCTGTGAGGAGGCTGTCGAGTGAAGAGAAATTTAGGGGTTGGGACCTGCAAGCCAAATGCAAGGGCCACCTGCTCATTGGCACGTCCGCCCTCAGGATACAGCTTGTCTCTTTGAAACCGGGTAACTGCCAATGCTTTTTTATGAGGACACTGGTGCGGTGGGGCTGAGGGTCTGAATCACCCACATCTACTAAGAGCCAAAAGAGGCCCCGGTGTTGGGACTAACTGAAATTGTATTCACAATCCTACCCAAAGCTTTAGTTGTAAGCTTTATCCCTCCTGAAACGTTTCTTTCCCTTTAAAAAAATATTTTGTTAAAAAACAGTATGATATGAGGGCGATAGACTATTTGGTTTCTTCTAAGTAGATGCTCTTAAATTAATGCATATAAATAATTTGTATTTAATTTCCTCTCTTTTCCTGTTGAGCAAAGCATAGAACACACCGATTCCTCCATCTCCAGTCACTTGGTCAACGCGGAGTCTCTTTGTATTTCATTTCTTAAGACAAACTGTGCCTCTCGTTCTGATTTGGCCGTGGGACTCAGGGGGAGAAAGGCTGTGTTTTCACTTGCACTGTCCTCGGTTTCTACACTGGCCAGTTCGTAGTCTTCTGACCGCCTGGCGTCGCTCAGAATTCGGATCTGCTCCTGGACAGTTTCTAGCAATATTTTCACTTCTTGTTGTTCTGCTATGAGACAATCGCTGACTGGAATACTCACATTGACAATGTCAGCAGAGTAGGAGTTTTTGTACCATTTGATGCTTTTGACTTCAGAAATCCCTGGCATTTGCATGCAGGTTTCCTCTAGACCCACTGAAGGGATGATGGGCACGGAACTGGCCCGCGTGGATGAATATCCCAACAGGTCCTTTTGATCCAAGCTATTAAAATAGGAATTTGTCTCTCTTGAAGGCAGTTGCATATTTATGGATGCATTTTGTTGGGTTTTTAAACCACTGGAGGAATACCTGAAAGAGAAACCCGGTGTTACATATCCTGCTTTCCGCCGTGCTTCCTTAGAGCAATATTCAGTCAACAAAGCACTTCCACATGCACCATCTCACTGAATTCTCACAGCAACCCCATGAGACGGATAATATGCTCCCAGTTAAACAGAGAAGTAAACTGAAGCTCATAGAGGTGAAGTGACTTGCCCAAGGTCACACAGAAAATAAGTGACAGACTGAGACTCAAACCCAGATCTTCTTACTTGAAGTCCAGGGATCTTTCAACACACCACAGCTGTATAGGCAGGTGGGGTATAGTCTTCCTGACCTCTATCCTAGAATACAAAGTAAATGGGGATTGAGCAGGTAAGTGTGGCCTTTCCATAGTGACAAACAGGAAACCCATAACGGCATTACTCCACTCCATCCATGTGACCACCCTCTCAGCCCGGGTTTAGTCTGTAGACTCGCGGCCACACTAGCTGGGGGCGATCAGGAAGCCCGGCATGGAAGCATCATTGTACTATCGTCCTGCGTGTTTCTGCTTCACATTGAGTTTAGGGGAAACAGGTCCAATTATCATTGGCTCTCAACTCTGTAGAAACTGCCTCACCTCCAGACAACTGAGCCTACAAATGGGAATGGAGGCATACACTTGCTTTCTGGGGATGAATGTGAAGTGAGGTCCATTGGGCCTCTACCAATATAGCAACTTTCCTCACATGGTTTCTGGAGCCAAGTAAGGTAATTCACTGGTGCACGGCAGTAGCTTGTCAAGAATGCCAACATGCCATTCCAAGTCATTTGAATATGCCAGGAACTGGCTAGCCCTCTTATTGCCTGTTCAGAGCTGGTGAATTTTCCAATGCCATAGAGTGGGGCAGGTATGTTGTGGATTCACAGAAATGTGGCTTCGGGTCCTGAACAGTAATCTCTATTCTCTGTTATTTGTCTTTAATTTAAATGTGAAATGAAACCTTAAAATTTAAGCATAATCTAAATAGAGCCACCCTCCACATAATAGGTCTTATTCCCCTTGTCTTGCATTACGATGTAAATAACAATCAGGTTTATAAATGGAAAGAATAATTGCAGGGAAGTGTCTTGCATACTAAATAGAAGCCTTTATTGCAAGGATGCAATCAGAGCAATTTAGGGGTCTGTCTTTCCTCCATACAGGGAGAAAAGACGAGGATCCAATGTAGGTGTCTCTGTGGCTCCATCCTCTCTTACTGTGCCTAGTACAGAGTTGGCAATCAATAAATCCTGATCAAGGGGATGCATGAATACAGGAACGGATCTTCAAGGTAAGTGCTCCCTTTATATCCCAGTTAATGTCTATTTCAAACATAATAACAGCTGACATTTGCAAAATGTTTTTTAAAAGCATGCTCATGTCTAATTACCTCATTTAATTTTTTAAAAACCTGTGGCTTATTTATTATTATTACCATGCAGTGGATAAATAAGCTAGATTAAGGGGCACTCAAGTGACTTCCCTCAAATTATACCTTTGGTAAGCAGTAGAGGAACAAGTTAATCCCAAATTGTCTGACTGTAATTCTTCTTATTAAAGCCAGAAATAAGTGGGCATCCCAAGGTGCAATAGAATACCTTTTTAGGGATGTATAATCTTTTTTACAATTATATTCTGATTGTATGGTCATGTAAAGGGAAATTCCCTGGGGGATCATATGCCTTTCACTTAAGTGTTATATGGTTGAAAATCTGACCCTATAGTTTCTGATCACTGACTTAATTTCAATAAGAAAAAAGGGGGCAGATGTCATCCTGCTAGCATCACTAATATGCATGAAGATAGAGGATGTCTGCTTATCACATTCACCAATGGCACAGAGCCAAGAAATATAATTGGGATAAAACTGTATTCCACATAGATATCTTCCAGGTGTATCAGTGGGTAGAATCTAACAGGTTGAAATGTGATGGTGACAGGTGCAAATTCTTAAAGCAGCATTTAAACATTCCTTGTAAAACTGTGGGGTAAAGGCATAAATATCTCAGAGGACTTAGTAAATTGTAGCCTTCTGACTACACTGGCATGACAATGTAGTAATCAAAGGTAATTCAAACCAAACTTGGGGCAGTCTTCATAATGATGGACTTGGGTGAGAAAGAGGAATGCCACTTAGCTTATGAGTCACCTTGCGAGTCAGGTATGGGACACGTGGCTGGCCGTAACTGAAATCTAGAATGTTACCATCACATGGAGAGGACTTCAAACAATTAGAACTCTCCGAAAATGTGATTTTTGTTTTATATCAGACATGATTTTAAGTCCCAATGCCATTACAAGTTCTGCAGTCTTGGACAAATGGCAGCCCCACTTACATTTTTTCATTAATTAAAACATGTGGGAATACTGATCTAGGGGGATTCCTCTGGTGACTGACTGGAGTCATACCTCTCCATTATTCAACCAGAGTCCCCTCTTCCTTCTCAGAGATGCTACGAGGGTCCCAGCCAGCACTGGTATTTGAGTAGAAGCTATATACTATTCTCCAGAAGTTCAAGCGAGAGCTAAATTTCTAATGTGACTCTAGATTAGAAGACACTTCAGAGTTCTGTGTTCCTTAAAAGCCACTAACTCTTTCACAAGCTTGATCCATACGCTGTCATTCCTTGACTACAAAATACCAGTTTGAACTGCCCTTCCCCTGATCCCTCACCAAAGAAACTTGCAAGTGCGTCTCATTTGTCACTAGGGGAGTCAAAGCATCCTTCTAAAGAGGAGAAATTCCAAGTTAGTCACTTGGTTTGGTTCCCAGGGATTCAGGGGTCCAGCCAAGGAGTTTGTGTCTCTGCACGGGCCTCCAAGCCTCTGTTCCTGGTGTTTGTGGCACTGAAATCAACTGACTAAATTGAAGAGAGCCATTTTCCCCTCTGAAGCCATACACAGCTATTTCCCTTACATATCATCATCCATGAATGTTATTTTCTTCATATTTCTTTCCTAGTTTAGTAGTTCATTTAGTCAGAAAGGCCAGTATTCAATCTCAGTCATTTTACATGGCATATGCCACCTCAAGTTAGCCATTTCAACTCTGCCATTCTTAGTTCGTTCATTTTTTAAATTCCTAAAGGATCACTTACGTCTGAACAGTTGCTAGGTAAGTGAGATAGGTATTCAGTATGGTTTGGATCCGTTCTGCTTTGAAGGTGGTCATATAGTTCTGTGATTCCATTTCTTTCTGGCTAGCATATGAATACATAAGTTTGATTTGCCTGACAAAACCTAGTTTGGAGCTCTGTGAGCCATTGCCATGATTGTCTCAGGTCCCTCACTCAGGGGGAAAAGCTCCTGAAGAATCTCCTCTCCATCTCATTCCTTCATCAAGAGCTCTCTAAGATATGTGCCGGGTTCAAGCTGGGCTAACGTAAGTGCCAAGAAGAGAAGCCACATACACCAGGAGCCTAACTAGCAGACCGTGCCCACACCCCAGATAAACAAGCAGCAGATGGCTGATAGCTCTTGTAAATTCATTCACTCCCCCTCCAGGCTAGGGCCAGATTTGAAGAGGGCCTTTAGCTGTGAAATTCTATTACCAATCCCATTTCCAGTCCGGAGAGACGGTCAGTCCCCCAGGAGTGGAAAAATAGCTGTTTTTAAGAACTGAGAATGAGATTGCTCCTTGAGATTCATTGTGCTGAGCACACAGTGACTTAGAGTCACCATTTATCAACATCAGGTGCATATCATACACAGGAAAATACACGTGGCCAGCCAGCTGGAGAGAATATTCCAAACCCAATGATGATTGAACCAAAACAAAACTACCACTATGCAGACAATAAGTGTAAGTCTCCCAGGAGGTAAAAGACAAAAACAGTGCCTGAATATTCATGGAAATCTCTGAGCCTCTGAAGATTTGTTTATGTAGGGTTCAAGCCTACATGCCTGGCAAGGGCTCCGAGCATCCTTATACCTGGGACATACGGGATGATAGCCATATCAGCGCCCGGTGAAAAGAAAGACAGCACGGGCTGGTTCTCTAACCATCCACAAAATCTCTGAACTTGATTTCCCCTCACTCGTTCTCACCCATATATGTGTTCCCAAGTAACAGACAATATTAGTGATTTAAGAAGAAAAGTCATGATGAAACAAGATTAATTATAATTAGGGGCTAAGGGGAAGCCCCGTTTCTAGATCTAAGGCAAAGAGAAATGCAAACTGCTTCTTGACTTGCATTATACGTTTTGGACAACTTGGCTCTTATGTTGAATTTGCAAACTGTCACCCCAGGTCTATACCGAAGGTATTTTACAGTTCATTTGGAATTGCTTCAAAATTACAAATGTCTTTCTGAAGAAATCTGTTGCTGGGTTTTGTCAGGGTGTGGCTGTAAAATGTCTTGCCAGAAACAAAAGGAAAAGGTAAGGCTCTGTGAGTATGTCTCCTACCTGCTTTGGCCCTCAGTTTGATACAGACAGTCTGGAGAGATCATCCAGGCCAAAGCAGAATAAAAGCCTGGCCTGCCTTATCCAAAGTGATAAAAACCAGATTCAACAAGAACCTGGCTTGACTGAGGGAACCGATTCCTGAAATTTCTGGGATAAACCCTGATTGCATTGCTCTTGAAATTAATAGCTAACAGTTCCTGTGATAAGTGCCAGACTACTTCTCTGCTTACTATGCATCAGGTACAAGCCCTTTAATACATGTAATTTTTAAAAATCTGCCCAAAAACCCTGAGGAAGCTGGTATTATTTTGCCCAATCTGTACATAAGAAAACTTAAGTTCAGAAGATAAAATTTTTTTCAAAGATGCGATTTAAACTCCAGTCAGTTTAAGGAAGGACTACCATGTTTGGGCGATTTATGCCAATTAGGTGAACAGGGGCTAAAATTCATCCTATTCTACTCACCATGCCATGAGCCCTGTGAGGGTCTGCATCCACTCAGAAGAAAGGGCACCTTTTGCAGCCCTGGTGTGCAAAGCCCATCTTTCCACACCTATACCACAAATGAACCTAGAAATCTGAGTTCAGCAAATTGTACTTTGACAATATGCTGTCTACATTGACGGAGACAGTTTCAAGAACACTCTGGACAGAAGTAGACACTATATACAAATACATTACAGGTTACTGTTGAGGGTAGTGCCCACAATATTGATTAGAGAATTGAGTAATTGTTTTTCAAACTTAAGAATGAAGGAACACGTTAGTCCTCCTAAGAAATCTTTTTCTTTTAAATCAAAGATGCATCCCCAGTTGTTTTAGCAACTATATAATATACTGCCTAGATAACTATACACTGAGCTTGCTCCCTAGTTTTATTTTTCTGTCTTACATTTCCCTAATATCTATTTTCATTGTACCTATTCTTTTTAGTTTATCTTTTGTGGAACAAAGATCGAAGTAAGCATAAATAGACTATTAATGACAAAAATCAATGAAGAAAACCCTAAGGAACATTATAACTCAATTTAAAGTTTGAGCATTCATGACACCCTCCCTAAATTCCATTGCTTTTAAGACCTACCCTTGACAAGGTATCGTATCCTGGTCTGGGATCCTTGATTCCTCGAGTTGCTGATATGCTGGTCCCACAATGCCACCCAGCCTACTTCTCGGTGAGGGGGGTGTTCTTCTGAAGGCATTCCTATGGAGCATACCACTCCTTTGCCCTGGACTGCAGCAAGAGGAGAGATTCCTGCTGGGATGAAAGAAAACCAACAGATTGATCCTAGCAAGAACCTTATATATGGCCGCTCAAACATCTCAAATGCTGCTCTTCACTCCAGACACTCACAGTTCTAGATTAGGCTCTCCAACCATGACTGCTAGGAGGAGACCAGAAGTTGTTGAATCCATTCACCCTTGCAGGAATTGAGACAAAGAGAAGTTCTCACATTTCTGGCTTTCTAGTTTGCAGCACAGTGGACCAAAACAATCTCAGCTTTCCAGCCAAAGATAAGAGGTGGGCTTAAGGAGTTCTCAAGCTCCTGATTCTCAGCTACCCTCATTATCCAGGATATAGTGGCTATCTAATAAAAATAAAAATGGCTTTGTTACTAGATACTGACAAAAACTAAACACAGGAACTCTGAAGGGATTCATGGGGAAAAGTTCACTGTGTTAGTGGTAGAATAAATAAGCCTCATTTGAATTGGCATTCTCTCCCTAACATATGTGCTAAATTCCCAGTTCACTACCCCAAATTTTCATCAATCTTGAGAAACAAAATTGTTTTTCTTTTGAATTTGCTTTTAATAAACATCTGATTATGTGTTTTCCTTGACTCATACATCCAAATACCCAAATAACCTTATGTGTTTAGATGCCATCATAAGCAAAAGGCATACGTGGGATGTATCCTAGGTGAGATTGAGATTCCTACATAGATCATGCTAACCAAAAGAGCTGGGCTCTTTATAAAAATCAGTTGCTGATTTGACTTTTTACCCATTCCATGTCCATTTCCATCTCCACCTCACTGAATGTACCCTGCAGACATGAGGACTGGTAAGAACTCTGTTCCTACGTAGACATTCCATGTGATGCCAGTTTATGTGGTCAAACTTGTTCTATGGTGTTCAGATAACAAGTAAAGTGAGAATCTTTTGCTATATTTTCATTTTACCCTAAAAATACCAATAAAGCCATATAGAGAAGGATGGAAACCATTTTCAAAATTTCAGCAAACTTACCAAGTTCTAAAAGGACCAGTCTCCCAAAGTAATTTAACCCATGTCACTATATTATTTGGACTTCTGGAATTTTCCCTCCTGGCAACACTACTGTTATTTCTACTTAGTAGTTACAATAAAAAACAAAACCTCAAATATTATTTAAGATCAGAGTTTGAGAACCTGACATTTGAGTAGACACTTTCCTGGTTTTGGCAAAGTGAATGATCAGATTTTACCTTCTTCAAACAGTAGGTCATACCTTGCAGCACAGTATACCTTCATTCTTTATCATAATATTTCTTGTATGTTGACAATATGGGGCCTCTAGGTAGGTCACCAAGGCCACAAGTTTAAAGAGTTCTAATAGTTGTTTTTTTTTTCCCATCCCTCTAGCTTCTACCTATATTATCCAGGAGCTATTATGGAGTCTGTGGGGTACTCAGGCTTTGGTGCTAGAAGTAGCTGCATCTGGGGGTGCATCTCAGGTGTTACATTACTTGCAGCATGATACGGGGGTAAGGATTTCTACCAGAGCCCTGAACAAAAGAGATGATACTCTAATTTGGGTCACTGGGGAGATTTTACTATTTACAAAGGTGTCTTCATTGTTTGAGAGGGGAAAAAAGCCAACATGGGGTACTACTGTATGTCCGGGCAAGTAACAAGAGGAAACTGTTACTATCCTTGCAACTGAAGGGACAAGGGGTGGGGGAGATGATCAGAATGGAGAGAGAAGGGGAGTTGTAAGGAAAGGACCACCTGGCAGGCACTGTGGCCCCAGGAAGTGGGACGAGGGATATAGCTGAGACAAGCAGGGAGGAGGGCACAGAAAGTCCAGGACTCCGGTCTCCCCCCATCCTTCCGTCTCCTGCCTGTGCTTTGAGTTGACAGCAGACAAGGGAGCCTGCTGCTCTTTCAGTGTACATGGCAAGGCAGAGGAAAGTAAAAACTTAGTATGGGGAGGAGAGGTGCCAAAGGAAGGTATTCGGATCATGCTTCAGTATCTTCATAGTACTACTTTAGGGCTAAAAGAGAGAGAGTATGCATGGAGCCTGGCCGGGAATAGGGGTTCAGTGCAATGAGTTCCCCTGACTCCTCCACACCTGACAACTTGAAGGCTCATGGTAATCACTGAAAACTCTGGTCTTATCTCATTCTAAAAACCTCCCATATGTGCTGTCTCTAAGAGAGTTATATTGCTAGAATGTAATAAGTATGACATAACATAATAGATTTTTTTCTTTAAAAAGCAAGAGGATTGTTTTCCCTTTGAACTAAACATGAGAAATAATGGCTTTGAATTAATAGCTTTGTTGTAATGAGTTACCCAAGTAAGTCATGTTTGCAGTGCAAAAAAAGGAAATTAATTATTCATAGCTAGCCAAACTGTCACAACAACAGAGTCTTCCAGTATGAACTAGTCACCCGTCTGCAAAAACAGCTCTACACCTACTGATCAATCAGCTATTCAAGCCTTCTAACCCCATGGCATTCGGGAAGTTATGGAGCAGTTTGTAGAATATATAAATCAGTAACCGGGTTATCAATCATGAAAACACTTAAGTCTACTGCGTGTTTTACAAAACAAAAGCCATGATATATTAAACTATAATTTCCAAAGTTCTAAAAGCACTTTATAAATCAACTCTTGCCTATCTATCAGGACACAATGTATGCCGACAAATACCGCAGTATCATTGAACCAAACGAAAGGGAAGCTCTCTGAAAAACGTTCTTCTTTAATTCGTGAGTGGCTCCCAGCAGCATAGGCGAAGCCAAGTTTAAGAGGGGGTATCTCAATGGACAAAGAATAGGGTAAGGTATTTGCAGCTCAAATACATTAGAAACTGTAATTCTTTTTTATTTTAACTTTAAAACATTGATGGTATAATATAGTCCTAGAGTAATATTATATATAATTATTTTACTTGACTGGATGGGACACCACTTCAACATGTATTATAATCAGCAGGGGAAAATGCTGTTTTGGAGAAAATATCCATCTTATAAAAGGCTGGTAATTTTGGACTTATTTCCCTAATTAAAGAACTTCCATTAGATCCAGTGAACTCAAATGCTCTTTTAACAAGGAAATATTTATAAATGCCTCAAATGATATAACCCAAAACTGGCAGTTAATAACTAAAGCAGTAATCCAACAGCCAAGTATATTTCAATTCCAACTTGAAAATATTTAAACCATTAAAAAAAAAAAAACTTATCAAACCTTTGGTATCTCAGTCTCTACTCACGTAGAATGGGGAAAAAAAAAAATCCCCAAACCATAATGAGGATTAGTATACAGAGAGACTGAAAACCTCCCAGTAAACGTGGTCAGCATTAAGAAAATCCTTTTTTAGGGGACTCATTGAGAGTCAAGGAAGGTTTTCAAAACATTGCCTAGATATGTCAAAACCAAGGGTCAACAATATTGTCGTTGTTGGGGACAACTGGCTGTTTTTTAAAGTTTTTTCTTTTTTTTTTAAGTATAGATGATATGCAATGTTATATTTGTTTCAGAGATACAATATAATGATTCTACGATGCTCGCCACATAAGTGACAACTATTATTTTGTACCTTCTCCTTTTTTGAAATTTTAATCCTTTCATATACATATATTTATTTATATTTATATTTACATATTTAATTTCACAATATGGTACTTCTCACTAAGAAAGGGAAGCTTAAATCACTGCACAACTTCCACAAAGACTGAGGATATTACATTCAGATGCACATAAACAGAGCATCAGTCCCAAACTTTGGCACTTGGTTTAGAAATAAGACTGCATTTTTGGAGTTTCAGATTTTTGTATATGAAACACAGCATGTGACTAGAAGATGCTAAAAAACCTGCTTGGCCTCAGAATGTTAGGACATTTATAAGATAACCTTAATTTTTGGCTCTCTCCCCCAAAGAACCAATTTCTATGGTCAGCTTGCAAAAGAGTGCCACCCTATTCATAACAGATCTTATAAACCCAAGGAGAAGACCTGCGAAGCTTCCTCCCCTTGAAAAGTTTTCTTTGTGTAAGAACCATGTTGGAAGACCTGGAGCATGTCAGATCAGCTGCCTAGGGAAGAATTAGTCATTAAATTTGCAGACGGTGATAAGGCAGGCTAGGAAAAATCATGTTTTTAATGGTCTTTCAGAATGCAATTGTTTCATTCACTGGTCTGTGTCTGCAGCTTTGATGGGTGTTGTTAATAGTTCCTCAGGCGTCTTACAGGGGCATGGCTGCCTGCTGTTAGCTTTGGTTTACTTGCTGTGAGCTGCTTGAGCATCCACTCCTTGGAGAAATACATGGGAAGCAAAAACAATCATTTCTCCTGAATCAAGCTGCCATTCATGGGCATGTGTTGTCCAACATTAGACAAAGTATGAACATGCCCATCCCCACCATGTGTAGCTACCTGTACCTGTGGTGTTTGACAGACTGGCTTCCTCTGTCAGGAGAAGGGACCTCTGGGAATGACTGAGGGCCGGCAAAACTTGACTCCATCATTTTCTCCAATGCAGTCACAGGATGCCTTTCCGCCTTTGAATACTGTGGAAAACCATATGCACAGAGTTGAGCTGGAGAATGAGTTATGAGAGGAGGGCCTATAATACTGTAGCTAGATATCAGAAGTTACTGAACTGAACTTGCCAGTATTTTGTCCAATGGTCACCTGATCAGGAGAATGATAGAGACATCATTGGCATCCCATTTCTCACACAGTGAGTATGGTCTCCATCCTCCCCCCACACTCTCTGCTTAGATAAGGTCCATCCACGAGCGTTCTTCACTTTAGAATTTTAAGAATGTCTTCTCATTTCAATCTACACCCAAGGCACACTTTGCCTGACAGGCGAAAACACAAGTATTTTTTATTCGATATACATTTTATACACGCAAAAAATTAATTAGTAGCTGGATTACAAATAGCAGGGGTTCAATAAATAGTGACGGAATGAACCTCAGAACATTCTCAGAATTATAAGGATATTGATTCAGAGTACCTGCTCTCAGGTCTCCATCATTACCTCCTTCAGCCTTTGCCAAGTAATTACTGGACATAATAAGAGAAATTCGTGGGCATTTCACTCTTTATACCTACTAAGTCTTGGTTTCATCTTTGACTGTGGTATCTTATAAGGCTCAGGAACCTTTGGGAAAGGTCTATAGAGATGACACATTAAGAAAAACTTTGCCCCAAGGGAAATATCGTATGGCATCTCAACCAGACAGCACATTGTCCACTTTAATCTTCCCGGGACACAGCTCTTGAACAGCAGCAAGTGCTAGCTGGTTTCTCTTCCAGAAACTCCAGATTAAAAACTACCCTGAGAAATGACAATTTTAGAATGCTAACCAAGCCAGAGAAAATTTTGAAATATTGATATTCATACTAGCGTATGAACACGAATTTTACAGAACAATGAAGACAGATATGCAATATACATATGAAAAGGTATACAACTGCATTCATTAGTTGTAAAGGGATAAAAATCAGAATAGAGAAAATTAAGTTTCAAGAAGCTCTAGTAAAGTTACAGATACAAGAAAATTAGAGTTAGTACTAATATGTTGGGGTATAAATGGCCAATATGTTCCAAAATGTTAAATAAACACACTCTTTGATCCAGAATGTTACTTCTAGGACTTACCATCATCAATATGATTGTAAAAATTCAAAATAATGTCATCACTAGAATGTACCAGTGATACAATTTTTAATAACAAAGTAGAAGATAAAAATAAAACAAAAACAACTGGACACAATAGAAATATCCACAAATAAAAACTACACAAACATTGAAAAGAAGTATGCATAATATTGCATAAATAAGGAAAATGAAGTAAACAGATATACATATATTGCAAGTGTGTATATGTATATATACATATATTTAGCTCTATGTATGCATATACACACACATATATACATTTTGTATGTACATGTACCTGTACATTTCTGTGTGTGCACTTGTGTTGTGTGTTTCCCATGCAACCCCACAGGATGCAGATAAAAAAAAAAAAGATTAATTGGATGTTCTCTTTGGGGAAAAGTGTATCAATGATTACAGGCTATTGAGATTAGGCAAAATGTCAAGGTTATATAACTAACCTTAAGGTAGAAATCTCTACTCTTATCTTCTGAAGTATTTCCAAAATAAACCACATGGGGCAGTCATAAGCATGTCTTCAAACACAATCTCAATTCTACAAAATGGACTCAAAGAAGCAGGTCAGACTTTTTGCAAAATGGAGTAAATTGACACAGAAAAAGAAAAAGAAGATAAGGAGATGATTTGGAAAAAGTGGCTATTTTTAATAACCCAAAACTACAAAGATCCAAAAAATGATGTAAATACCTTCATGCGTGCTTTTTTATTGACGAATTAAAGTTAATTATTACAACCCATCCATGGGAAAAGTGCATTGAATAGACAAGTAACTGGAATATAATCAACATTCTAACTTTCTATCTGAACTTCAGATTCTAGTAATAGACCAACTAGGGATTTGTTTGTTTTTTAATCTAATAAATTGCTTCAGAAGACAAACTTGGATGCCTGGAATGCTCAGCTACAGAAACAAGTGAGATGATCTGGAGACATCTGTGGCAAATGGGAGGAGGTAAGCATCTGCTCCTACAGAGAGGTCTATGGGGACATCTGCTAGGTTTTTCTGGACCATCTATAATTTCTAGAGAAATCACTGAATCATTAAAAGTCAATAAGCCATTTTTTTAAAGCAATGTATGTCAAATAGCCTAATTATGTGTTGGGGCCATTAGTTCAGAATCTGTGCTTTTGGTGGGGGAGTGGGATACCAATCAGTTTTTACTTTTATTTTAATTCTAGTGTAGTTAAAATAGTGTTATATTAGTTTCAGATGTGCAATATAATGATCTAACTGTTCCATGCACCAAGATACTGTGTTCTTAATCCCCATCATCTGTTTCACCTATACCCTTACATACCTCCCCTTTAGTAACCATCTGTTTGTTCTCTATAGTTAAGAGTCTGTTGTTTGGTTTATCTCTCTTTTTTTTTCTTTGTTCATTTGTTTTGTTTATTAAATGCCACATTTGAGTGAAATTATATGGTATTTGTCTTCCTGTGACTCATTTCATTTAGCATTATGCTCTCTAGCTCCATCCATGTTGTTGCAAATGGTAAGAGTTAATTCTGTCTTATGACTGAATAATAATCCTGTATATGTAAGTATCTATATTTCTATCTATCTCCATATCTATCTATCTCCCATATCTTCTTTATCCACTCATCTATCAATGGATGCTTAGGCTGCTTCCATAATTTGGTTAATGTAAATAATGCTGCAATCAACATATGAGGTGCATATAAACTTTGCTTCAAATGAGAGTTTTGATCCTGAAAGCTAAAAGATTTTGTTCAAAATCCTGGATAAAAATTTTGAGTAAAATCAACGTCTTTTTTTTTTCTGGTTGAATAATATTCTATTATAATAGAATAATTGAATAGTGTCTATAATAGATACTATGTTCTAAATCTTTTCTTTCAAATGTTTTCATTGTTGTTATACAGTTGCTTTCAATTCTATTGTTTTGGTCAATTAACACAAATTTATTTTCAAATTGTCTTATTTTGGATTTTGCCTCTCTCTCACAAACTTTATAAGAATCATTTTCATTTCAGTTGGTAGCATTTAACATGAGATTCAGGTTTAAGTTGCTGTATTCCTATCCAGGATTGACTGAGAAAAAACAGACAAACAAAAGACACTAGTAGATTTTAAAGCCTTTGGCATCTATAGTCACGGCAAATATTAAATTAAACCCATTGCTAGCCAGATTAACATAAAATCTACACTAAACATCTGTTTACCTTAGGATTACACAATGTATCATGTCTACCTTTTAAAAAAATTATAAGGCATTCTAGTGTGTATATATATATATATATATATATATATATATATATATGTATATGTATGTATATATATGAAGACATAAAGTAAGAACCAAACCTGACTCAGATACCACAGAAAAGTTGGGGTGATAGACATAGAATTTAAAATAAATACAAACTTTTAGTTCCTTTATTTCTCCAGAAAGGGATTTTATTTCTCCAGAAAATTGAAATCAAGAAAGCTATTAATGAGGTGCAATAAAAAATGGAGGCTCTTACTGCAAGGATAAATGAACCAGAAGAGAGAATTAGTGATAAAGAACACCAAATGATGGAGAATAAAGAAGCTGAGAAAAAGAGATAAACAACTACTGGACAATGAGGGGAGAATTTGAGAGAATAAGTGATAACATAAGACAAAACAATATTAGAATTGGGATCCCAGAAGAAGAAGAAAGAGAGGGGCACAAGGTATACTGGACCAAATTATAATAGAGAACTTCCCTAATTTGGTGAAGTGAGCAAGGATCAAAATTCAGGAGGCACAGATAACCCACCTCAAAGTTAAAAAAAAAAAAAAATGAGGTCAACACCCCATCATCTAATAGAAAAACAAGTCTCAGTGACAAAGAGAAAATCCTGAAAGCAGCTCAGGACAAGAGGTCTGTAACATACAATGGTAGAAATATTAGATTGGTGGCAGATCTATCCACAGAGACCTGACAGGCCAGAGAAGAGTGGCATGATATATTCAGAGCACTAAACAAGAAAAATATGCAGCCAAGAATACTATATCCAGCTAGGCTCTTAATGAAAATAGAAGGAGACTTAAAAAGCTTCCAGGACAAACAAAAACTAAAAGAATTTGCAAACACCAGAACAGTCCTGAAGGACATATTGAAAGGGGTCCTGTAAGCAAAGAGAGAGCCTAAAAGTAGCAGACCAGAAAGGAACAGAGACAATATATAGTAACTGTTACCTTACAGTCAATACAATGGCACGGAATTCGTCTTTCAGTAGTTACCCTGAATGTAAATGGGCTAAATGCCCTAATCAAAGGGATAGGGTATCAGAATGGATTAAAAAAAAAACAAGACCTATTGATATGCTATCTACAAGAAACTCATTTTAGACCCAAAGATACCTCCAGATTAAAAGGGGGTGGAAAATATCTTACCATGCTAATGGACATCAGAAGAAAGCTGGGGTGGCAATCCTTGTATCAAATAAATTGTATTTTAAGCCAAAGACTATAATAAGTGATGAGGAAGGACACTATATCATATTTAAAGGTTCTGTCCAACAGTAAGATCTAACAATTTTAAATATCTATGCCCCTAATGGGAGCAGCCAATTATATAAGCCAATTAATAATAAAAGGAAACACATAGACAATAATACAGTAATAGTAGGGGACTTTAACACCCCCCTCACTGAAATAGATCATCTAAGCAAAAGATCAACAAGGAAATAAAGGCTTTCAATGGCATACTGGACCAAATGACGTATCAGATATATTCAGAACATTCCATCCCAAAACAACAGAATACACATTCTTCTCTAGTGCACATGGAACATTCTCCAGAATAGATCACATCCTGGGTCACAAATCAGGTCTCAACCAGTACCAAAAGACTGGGATCATTCCCTGCATACTTTCAGACCACA